GGAGACTGTACTAAACAGCTTGGAGAAAGCAATAGGCCATAGTTGTTTCTTTTACCACTCCCATTTCTCCAAAACGCGCTGTTCAATCTGCCATTGGTTAAAAATAAACGTAAGAGACGATAATTCAAGGTTAGAGATTACCGAAAGCTATCTTCGAAACAGAATTGCATTCTTATACAATACGAATTTATTAAAACGTGACGTCTCGAATATGATGTACGTACGTTTTACCATATACATACACGTTTGGTACGTTAGCAACATACGTGCACGTACGCAAAGGTAAAATTGATTGAAAGAAAAAACAAAAAGAAGTGCATTGTATGTTGACAAAGGGGCGAAAAATAAACAAGTCCGCTTTCAAAACAACGGCTGTAATCTTATCACGGACACTCGTACGTACGTTTATTCGGCGGATTTCCATGTTTGCATGGCAATACGTTACGCACTGTGAATTTATTTGCATACTGTTCAGATTATCTTCGACATTTTATTTCAACTGATATAAGCTACTGTTCTTAGACACTACGGTGAGAACTAGAGCACCGTGCTTTGTCAAAATTTTCAAATCGAACCTTATCTTGCACAGATGTTTTCCACGGGACAAGAAGAATAGGATAAATAGAACAACCTGCATTTTAACTCCGTATACATACATTCATTCAAATTTAATTCAATAAAATCTTTCATCGCAACTATTTACATTTAAATAAGGGACATGAATTTAAATATTTCAAGAATCTGTATATTTTATATCCGTATATTTTACGTGTAAAGAATCGCGAGTCTCGGTTCATTAACATTATGCAAATATAAAAAGTGAACTGGTATTTACTCGTTAAATTTTATACGTGTCGTAATTGGTTCGGCCTAAGTAGCAGATGTTTGTTGCGACGCCGTTAGGAATGGTACAAGATCAACGAGGCGAATCGACACTTTTCAATGATAATTGTCAATTTACCTCGTTGCTGTTCTCGTGGCCTGAATCGTTTGTATCTTCTGTGAGATGGCAATGGGGAAATGATTTTCTGTCGCGTACCAAGTAACTCGCGCGGAGCGAACCGTACGTAGGCGATCGTCACGACCAATCACGGAGCCCGTTTGCCAAGTATATAACGTTGGCTAGTGTTTGCGTATACGCGTCTGGCACAGTATGGCTGACTAAATGGCGCCACCGTGCTCGCGCGGGAAATTTTGAATATTCAAACCGGGCTAATTCGACAGAACAATTTTCCAAAATATTTTTCTCTCTGTTATATCAACTACACTTCACTCGTAAATCGTTAAAAACCCGTTTTAACCCGAACAAATATCTTTTAACGTCGTTTCGCACTATTGTAACATCGCGTAACGGTACAATTGTCCCTAAAAGGACTTTTCTCTTTAACCAATCGTTATTTTCCCAAGAAACGTAGGAAACGCAAAAAAGGAATGTGAGATACGTTCGGTAAAGGAGCAAATTCTCATGAGAGGACTGCAAAGCGTGTTGTTTAAAATGAAAATCCCACGCAACATCCAGGAAGTGGTGAGGGTGGCACCGGATGCATCTCAATGAGGGGAGAACGAGCGAATGAGTCGCGTAAAACAATCCTTTTTGCGTTTCGCAAAGACTACCGTCTCTCTTTCATCTGCGGTTTAAGCTGGGGTACCCGTTTAGCAAGGTATTCCGTTGCACAGGTGTTCTCTCATGGTTCGTCGTAGACGAAGGACAGAAAATAAACACCGTTTTCCTCCTCTAACCCAACCCACGCTGTCGTCTATCTCCCGAAACGATGATCTCTACCCGTATGTACTAGATTATTTCTCAAGGAAACGCGTGTTTATACATCCTGAATAGACGACGACCGGAAGAGACGCGTGGCCACATCTGCATCGTCTGTTTACCGGCGTAAAGATTCACCTGTTCCATCACCGGCAAGAAGAATTTCGCTATCAAATCTGAGTTTACTGTTGTTGGTATTGCGTTATCTGGTCGCGTGCACGACGCCGTAGAACGAAAATGTAAGCCGTGATAAATCATCTTTATCGAGATCAAGGTGGTGGATCGAGATCGAGGTTGAGAACTGAACCTATTGTTCTTGGAGTAACGTCGACGGATAAACAATTTTCTTTTTTTTCTTTTTCCAACTTTTCTCCCCTTTTTCCGAACAACAGCCGGAGATTTTCAACGAGCGATTAGAGAAAATGTTCGTTTCGCGGGAGGATCTCTCGTTGATCGATCGGCGGATCGGTTCATTAGCGATGTCCGTTGTTTGCGAAGCTCTTCAGCGTGAAGGTATTGAATGGTGGCGCGGAACAATGAAGGTGGTGCACGTTATACGCGAATATCTTTTGTCGTAGTCGCGATTGTGCCCACTTCCGTGGGAATTCCGCGGAACGGAAGTGCAATTTCTGGCAATGGGTACAACACCACCATCATCGTGGCCAGCTTCCATAGAAACGATTCTTAAGAAGCGATGCCAGGTGCACGAGCTGTCTTCTCACGAGGACGAGAGATGAACTTTTCGGAAATAGCGATACTCGTGGAATCGTCTTCGAGCTCTTCGTTCGTTTTACAAATTGTAAATAGTTTTTTTTTTTTTTTTCGTACGAATTGCTTCAACGATTTCGTTCAACGAAGTCGCGCTACGCTTAAGTGAATTGTTTACTTTTCTCGAGAAAATGCATTCAACAGATGTGTCATCTTGCATCTCGTGCCTAGAAATTAGGTCATGCATAAGTCGTGCGCCATATGCTTGCGAGCATCCAATCCGTCGAGTATGCAATCTCGTATCGCAGCCGATTCGTTTTATCGCGGACGTGAAGGAGAAGGAAGAAAAGAAGAGGGGAAATAATTGAGCAGACGTTCCGTTTATAAATTTATAGATAAATATAATATTTTTCTTTCGTC